AAATAAAAAATTACCCTTTAAAAATCAATCTTAAAAAATGTATTCTCTATTACCATTTTCTAACTAACTTTACTTAACTCATTTTATCGTTTAAAAAACGCTAAATATATTTTTAGTTGTCTATAATTACCAACTATCGTGCTCAACTATCGATAATATTATCGCTAGTCCCCCACACCAGCACTGCAGTAAGCAAACAACATTTGGCATCTCTACTGTGTCCTTTATCATTTTTCTTCATCCGCGGAAGTGATGGATTTGAGTGATAATAGCCAACTGGAGGACCAGTACTTTGTCTACAAGCATGATCAGCTGTTCGGCGAGAGCTTCCCGCTCTTCAAGGAGATCCGCAGGATGGGCAAGCTGTGCGACGTCACCCTGAAGGTGGGTGGTCCGAGTCAGAACGGTGCAATCAATTACCCGCAGCTCACAGATACGACCATTATCTAGTGTCTAAAAATATATAATGCCATCCGAATTATTGCAGGTTGAAGATCAAACATTCTCCGCGCACCGCGTCGTGCTGGCAGCCACCATTCCGTACTTCTATGCGATGTTCACCAACAACATGGCTGAGAGCCGGATCAAGGAGATCACCATGAAGGAGAGCGCCATCGAACCGAGTGCCCTGGAGAGCCTGATCAACTATGTTTACAGCGGGCAGGTGCGCATCGACAACCAGAATGTGCAGAGTCTCATGGTGGGCGCCTCGTTCCTGCAGCTCTCCAACGTCCGCGATGCCTGTGCCAGCTTTCTGATCTCACGCTTCCATCCGCACAATGTCCTGGGAATCCGCACCTTCGCCGACTCCATGATTTGCCGGCAGCTAATCGATGCCGCCGACAAATATATTGACCAAAACTTTGCCAAAGTGTCGCAGTCCGAGGAATTTCTGGCCCTGGACTGCGAACAGCTGCTGGAGCTGATGCGCCGGGACGAGCTAACGTACGCACCGAGGAGGTTATCTTCGAGGCCTGCATGAAGTGGGTGAAGTACGCGGAGGATAAGCGCTCCGAGTGTTCCCCCAAGTACTAGCTGCAGTACGACTGCCACTGCTATCGCCACAGTTCTTGGCGGATCGAGTGGCACGAGAGGAGCTCATCCGATCCTCGCACCAATGCCGTGATCTCCTGGACGAGGCCAAGGACTTTCACCTCATGCCGGAGCGCAGGGGACTGCTGCAAAGCTTTCGCACTCGTCAACGCTCCGGGGAGTTCTTCACCGGACAAATATACGCCGTGGGAGGACTGGCCAGCACTGGGGAATCTGTGAGCACGGTGGAGATATACGATCCCCTCACCAAAAAGTGGAAAATGGGCGAACAAATGTCCATGATGAGGTGAGTGTGGTGGGATCTTATATTATTGTTCTCTACCATACTAATTATTAAATTCACCATTAGATCTCGTGTGGGCGTGGCCGTTCTAAATGGCAAGCTGTACGCCTTTGGTGGCTTCAACGGCACCGAACGCCTCTCCACCGTCGAGGTCTACGATCCGCGGAAAAACAAGTGGTCCCAGGGATGTGCCATGCTGTGCAAGCGCAGTGCCGTGGGCGTGGCCGCCCTGGATGACTGTATCTATGTGTGCGGTGGCTACGACGGCGTCACCTCGCTAAATACCGTAGAGGTTTACTACCCCAAGACCAACACTTGGAAGACGGTAAGTCAATGACTATTTCTCCAGAAAGAATATAAAACTGATCCATCTCCCTGATTCTAGGTTGCCAAATGATGAAGTATCGTTCAGCTGGAGGTGTTACCCAATTGAACGGCTATGTCTACGCTCTTGGCGGTCACGATGGATTGTCTATATTCGATTCGGTGGAGCGGTACGATCAGAACGAGGATGTGTGGGTGAAGATGTCGCCCATGCTAAATCGACGCTGTCGACTGGGAGTGGCTACGCTCAATGGGAAGATATATGTGTGCGGTGGCTACTGTGGGAACTCGTTCCTACGCTCTGTCGAGTGCTACGAACCGTCGACGGACACCTGGAAACTGGTGACGCCCATGAATTGCAAGCGATCGCGAGTGGCCCTGGCCGCCAACATGGGCAAACTGTGGGCCATTGGCGGCTATGACGGCGAGTCAAATTTGTCCACCGTCGAGGTATATGATCCGGAGACCGATAAATGGACCTTTATGCCGCCGATGTGCGCCCATAGTGGCGGCGTGGAGCCGGTGTCATACGGATCGAGTAACCCGCTCGGTGTGCCTGCCAAATCCGTTTCTCTAGCCACTCTCGACTTAGGTAATTTATGTGAATTGAAATGATGTAGTCTAGCCTAGATACGATTGTTGAGTGTAACCAAGCTTTAGCGGCACCTCGTGGGGCCGCCTCGTGTGCAACTCAGCTCAGCTCCTTCAGCTCTATCAAAATTGTTCATGTATTACTCACGGTTCTTTAGTGTTTGTCATTCCAGTTATGTAATTGTTTAGTTTCTACGCCTAGCCTTAAATACTCACTAACATTTTAATCCTTCAAATAAAAACATGTGTTATGCATGTTATGTGGAAATTCATTTATTGTTTGCACTTTTTTATGATGTCATTGTAATTTATACGCAGCTAGGTAACTTAATAAAACGTTGGCGGGAATTTAAATTAAAAATAGATACCATTTTATTACCTTAAGCGAATCAGACAACCGAACTAAAACATTTAATTCAATTTCATTGATAAAACAAAAAGAACCCAAACTTTGAATACTCTTTGCCAAACCATTTGGTTTCTACGAAGTATAAATTTACAAATCTCCTTTAAACTTTTAAATTATTCCTACAAAAGTTAAATCAAATACCAGCAAGATTATAATTAAAAAACAATTAAATTATGATATTTTTTATTAGTTCAGTTAAAAATATCGGACCACCTGTCTTGAGAGCAAATTATAGTTCATCTGTTCTTTAGAAAAGGTAGTTAAAAAGTTGTCTATTAGTTTTTTACCGTTTTTACACTCCCTTTGCCGTTTGCAATATCGGAATTCGTTCATCGTATAAATCAATTGTGTTTCGACCATCCATATGGGCGGCGGATACGTTTTATTTGCACAATAATAAATGGTTGACAAATAACAAAGCAATCTGAACGAAAAAAAATGGGAAATTTTGCGAGGGCAGCGTAATAAGTTTATTGCCAATAATAAATTGCGGTTTTTTATTTTATGCAATCAAGCATAATTTTCCGTGGTACGTAAAATTATTACTGAATGGCTATTATTATGCAATTAAATAATTAGGTCCAAAGAGGTGTCGAAGTTGAAGTTATTATACAACTAAGCTACTAAGCTAAGTTGGTAACGTTGATTTAGATTATGTTTTAGCTTAAAGTCCTGAAAACTTATAAAAATATCGGGTTTGGAACCTACTTTTAGTTTAACATGGGGATGATAAAAGAGGCCCTTAGTTAATTACAAAAGTTTATTATATAAGGTAGTTTTGATTTTTAACTTATGGAAGATACAATTTATTGTCAATTCACTAGGAAAGTTTTAGGTCATCCCACATTATTGTAAATCACCTTGTGGTTCCTTGAGCAATCCGAAGCCATCGACTGCCCCTCGTTGTGACTCAGTTGGGCGTGTTGTGTCTCTCTTCCCTTGATGTTTGTACACCTCCCACGCTCGGAATGCAATTTTAAATTCAATTTGCACCACCTGCTCAAAGTGCAGCGGCAGCAGAACAATTTCCGAGCAACAGGTGGCAAAACCGCATCCAAAAATATTGACTAACGAAAGCAAAACAAAATCAATTTGCTGTCTATCACTGACCCATAAAATGCCATCCGCCGCAAAAGGGCCATAATCCAATCAATCGCGCACTTAACGTCCATATTCCGCAGTTATCAGCTGGTTCCAGTTCCAGCAATGGAGGACCTTATCTGGCCTCTGTTCCCGATTCCCAATACCCAATAGCCCCGGCTATTTGCACAAGCGAAAGGGCTTTCCGGCGGCGGTCTTATTTGATTTCGATAATCAAATCACAAATTGCTTGTCTATCGATGGGCAATTTTATTTTAATTAAATGCTAATTATGTTTACCAAAATGGCCGGGGCAACAAATATTTGTTGCGTCAATTGTAGTGGGAGTTCACTAGCGAACGATTTCGTTTAGTTGGAAAACGTGCTAATTGAACGAGTGTGAGGAATTGGCTATTTTGCTGCCCCGAAATCAGTTGCAATTTAAATGCAAATTTTTAGCGGGCTCTGTACACTGTAACTTTTACGACTCAATTGGACGGGAAAAGCGGAAGGAAATCTCGTCAGTAAGGATGTGCAGATAAGATGGGGCAAGCAGGAAGCGGCGGTGCTTCCACGTTTAATTTTAGACCGAAAAACTGGCGCTGTAGTGGCTGCTGCAAGTTGCAACAAGCTGGCCCCCGGATGTGTGGCATCCACTTGGCCTTTCCGAGTGGCGCATGGGTGTCGCGGGTGTGGCGGGATTCTTATCTTGAATGCCGCGACCTCGCCTCAAGTGCATTGTTGATGGTCGGGGCCCGTTTAAATCTGGCAGAAACAAATTTTCCGGCTCAGCCTGTGACGCATTTGAGAAAACACCGCTTTTTTGCTTTAAATTTCATTCAAAGTGATTGATCGATGGTAATTAGGGTTATCACTTAGCACTGGAAAGTAATATTATACACATATACTGCTTCATAAAATACATCGAAGTATTTTCTTTCAATTTTAATTTGATAAAAAAGGGAACCAAAAACGAATTTATGAATATTTTGCATCATTTTTAACTAGAAAATAAATAATATAAGGGTTTATAATACTTTTTAGTGGAATCACAAATTTTGATCTTTTGTCATGCGGTAGTAGCATTTAAATATTTAAGCAGTGCCACCTCAACGGATTTTTAAAAAAGTTTCTTATTTGTTTGTTTATAACTATTTTGAGAACGTTTTTTGACATAATGTTTTATTTTATTGTATTTTTTCGAAGTGCCCCAAATTGTTATTATTTTATATACCACTTTTCGCATATTTTAAAAATTTATTTATTTTTGTACCCCATGGTAAAAGGACAATCGTTTTGTTTACTTTGCAGGTGGCATATGGAAATAATTTTAATTACAAATTTTTTGGACAAATAGCCAGGGTAAAATCAACAAAGTGCATAATTTTTATTTGGGCATTCCGCATGCATAAGGTAAATCATAAATATTAAAATAAAAAACCGAAAAACAAAATGAGTGCGAAAAAGAGAAAACAGAAATCGAAATTAAAATTTCTTTATACATGGGGCTCTCTGCCAGTTGGCCAGTTGGTCGACATTTCACTCAACTTTCTCCTTTTTTTCGCATTGCCTTTTCGCATTTCGCCTACTTTTTGCATATGTTTTATTCACATATGCAAACAGAGTTTCCGTTCAATTCAATTGCTCGGCGAGGAGGCAATTTTTTATTCCACGGTGAAGTGGCGACCGCATAAAAGAGCACACACCCACAACGGCTCACACACAGCCACACCTCGTATCGCTTCAGATTCTATTCGACCAATTGTTGATATGCACGAGCACCCACACACATACACTCGTGCCAGCCGAGGAGGCTTCGTGTCCTGCCGGTCGGCTTCCTGTTTCGGCTTTATCCTTCTGCAGCTTTTATAAAGGGCCGTTGTCGCTTCGATCTGTCGCTCAGTTGTTGCATACTTCTCGGCGCGTTCGTTACGCGAGCAGTTCAAAAAAGTTCAAAGATAAGATACAACTGAAAGTGAAAGATATATCCAAAGCAGATTGGACTTATTTGTAAGTGAGCTTTCGTAAACTATTGTCATTTCTGATTAATATATTTTGAAATATATTTTTTTCAAGAATTTAAATATGTATTATTTTCAAAAGTGATTTTTCTAAGTTTAAAAATGTGACTTTGTTTCAATTTTATGAAACAATGTAATATAAACATATTTTTATTTTGAGTGATATTTTGCTTATCATATTTTTAAAGACTAGAATGATTTTAAATAGTTTGTATAACTGATTAATATTTTTCAAAATGTTAAATACTAGCAAATACAATTTTTCCATTTATTCATCTTAACTTTAAACGAGCATTAAAAAAAGTATCTCTGGAAATAAGCAATTCCATTGTCAAAAAATAAAGTAAAAAAAAACAAAACATTTAAAATTTTATGATTCAGAGTGTTTAGTGCTATAGCTCAGCTTGTTTATCAGATTTTATATCCTATTTGATCTCAGGGGTCTGCTTAATATCATCAACAAGTTTTTATGACAACGCATTTGACCATCTCACCATTAAATTTCTTGGGGGGTTTCCATTTCCACCCAATTTAAGGAGGCTAAAAAAAGTACCTTTCACTTAATACTCAGTTATTTTCTACTTTAAAGCAGAAGTTTATTTGATTTATTGTTTGGAACTAAAAGTCTTTCATTTATTGTGCCCGGCTGACATCGTGTTAATTCGCCTGATTAACTGACAAGATCCTTATAACAATGGGGTGATAAAAACACATGAGCTAACTTCTTGGGAACTTTCAAAGTCAAGTTCCTTTTGTTTTACATATTTGGTTCGGCGAGAGCCGAAACATTGTTTATGGAGGACGGACATCATCAATTGACAGCCGGCGGCCAAAGCTAATAAAAAGCAACATCAATGCCGGGGTCCAGGTTCCGAAATGGGTTTGGGATGAGGTGGGATGGGATGGGAATGGCACACATCCGGTGGCAGCACGCAATGCCATCCCATTTGGAAAAGCACTATCCCAAAAAGACTTGGGTTGATGGACTGGGTGGCCACGGGTGACATGAGGCGGCGCTTTAAAACTGCCCCTGGGTCTTAACTTGTTTTATGTCAACTTGGACAACGAGAACAGGGCAATTACAGCATGTGTAGCCAGCAAATACACAAATACTTGAGTTGCAGCTGCGCCTAAAAGATCCTTTAAAATGTAAGCCACTGCATGCGAGTGTGTGAGCCAGGACTAATTAACCCGGCCGACAACTGTAGCTGCCGGACTCATTACGACATCAAGAGATGGCCAAGTGGGGAGTGATTCTCTGCCCGGAACACTCTGGTAATGGGGCTCCGAAACAGTAACGTCTTTTCTTGGTAGGCATGTATGTAGGTAAATATTATACTACTGTTTGAAGGTAGTTTGAGATAGAACTATTAATTCTTTAATTTAATATAAAGATTAAAGTAAAAAAGTAATAAACTGGGAAATTTCCTGAAGTTAAGACTAGGAAAATAAAAAAAAAACAAAACCAAAAAACTCTAAAACACACCTTTGCTATGTTTATAGGCCTTAAAATCCATTATTTTTATAATAAGTAAAAATATTGAAGAGAGAACAATAAATAAATAAATAACAGTTGGGACGTTTCGGAACATTAAAAAAACAAGAAGAACGCTATAGTCGAGTACCTCGACTATCAGATACCGTTACTCAAAGGAAATGGAGATATGCAAGCAGCAAAGCGAAATTAAAATGCGCCACCTACGGCGGTAGACAGATTTAAGCGTTATGGCGTTAGAGTGGGCGTGGCAAATTTATTTTTGGATCAATCGATACGTATTGACGACACCAATACATTCAGTTAAATTTTTATCTAGCATGCAATTGTGGCGTCACAGGTTTTCGCGGTTGTGGCGTTTAAGTGGGCGTGGCAAACTTTTTTTAGGTCAATCGATAGGTATTGATGAGAACAATACATTTCAGTTAATATTTTTGTCTAGCATCAAACTGTAGGATTACAGTTTGGGCGGTTTGGGCGTAGAGTGGCGTGGCAGTCTACTGAACAACTTGCCTGCGTAAGAAGCTCAGAATCTGTACGCAAATTAATAGCCTAGCTCTCATAGTCGAATTCAGCGTTCATCCGACAACGTCAGACGACAGACACAGACAAGACACTAGATCGACTCCTATGATCAAAAATATATACTTATTGGAAACCTTTTCTGTTACATACTTCGACAATCTATATACTTTACTCTACGATAACTATAAAAATAAAATCATAACACTCCTAAAAACCTTAAAAACCCTTGCTTTTATATTAACTTATATTTACCGAACAATACCCCAAGTTTTAAAACATTCAATCATTTATAAATAAACATAAGTAATCCAACATGCTTTGGGGCAACTTCTTTAGAAACGAAAAATCCTAAATGGGAAACAAGAGGAGGGGGATTTTGTTACTGTCATAAAAAACTTTTCAGCTACCTAAAATGAAACGAACCAAGACACGCTCCATTTTCGACCCGCCTTTGACTTACGACTCATCATCAGCGCATTTCAGTGGATTTCAATTTCAATCATTAGGGATTAATTTGGCCGAAGCACAAAGGTCACACATGCCCGACCCTCCACGCTCCATCCGTGTTTCACATATGCCCCCACGGCTTTAATGAGTCTTTTACAAAAGGGATAACGAGGCAGACAGGACGCGTCCGTCTCGGAGTCGCTTTAATGTCGCACAAAGAACTTAAACCGCATAAATTTACATTTAGATCTACATTAACGAATGATGCATGGTGTATATAATGTATGGCGATGGATGCACGAAAGTCCTTAGGCCTAAAAGGTTCTGGCGTTCAGGATGGGGGTGTCCCGGAAGTGCAGCTCCTGTGAGGTGGGTGTCTGCTGGTACTCCACCACCACCAGACGGTTGAGCCCACCTTGAGAACCGGAGCGGAACATACAGGGTGACCTGCGGTCCCACCAGGGGCCAATATCTACCAAGATTCTCGCCGTTCACAAAACAATGCCCTTGCCCCAGCCAGACATGTCCAGATAGGTGTCCGCCAGATCCGACTCCTTCTGGATGTCCAGCTGACCATAGTAGATGGCCGGACCAGTGCGCAGCATAGTCCGCAGCTTCTTCAGCTCTTGGAAACCTGACGGGCAGCCTCATCCGACTGGGTTATAAGCTGCTCCAGATGATCGTACGACTCCAGTGGAAACTGGGTCATGTTCCAATTGCTCAGCACCTGCTTGTCCAGTCGCACATCCGCAGGATTCCCTTGAAGTCGTTGAGCTGACGACCATAGTTGATGCGACCCTGGTTCTCCACGATGATCTGCAACCTCCGTCCGGCACTTGCACTCAGGGGCAACTCAAAAACGGGTGTTTCTCTGGCCAAATGCCCACAAACTCCCCGTCCACATAGACATAACCTCGATCCGCCACTCCGGGAACATTGAGGATACTCGGATCCCGCTGGAAGCTGGGCAACCAAGTCTCGTAGAGCACCAGACCGGAGTACTGCCCCAAAGCCTCGAAGCTCTTGGCTTAGTGGCCTGAACGAATCCTGTCGAGAGTCGTGATCTCGCCTCCGAGGAAAGCAGACTGCAACAGCTGGTCAGTCGTACAGTTCCGTAGGACGCTTGGGAACAGGTGCGGGAACGGGTTGATCGGGCAAAGGCAAATAGCGGGCGATAATACGACGCAGGGCCTGGTACTTGGGCGTGGGATCCCCCGCCTCCGTCATGGGTGCGTCGTAGTCGTAACTGGTGATGTCCGCCATGTAGTTCCGGGACCTATCTCATTGGCTCCAGCCGTAAAGCCGAAATTAGTTCCGCCGTAAACATGTAGAAGTTGACACTGGCACCATTGTCCAGCATGTTTCTGGAAAGTAAAAAAAGTATACAAGATAGTAAAGTTCTTTGTAAACCCCTTTATAATTTATAAAGAAGCTCTATATGATCTTAAACTTACATAAAAGTGGAAGTGATCGATCGCGTGCTCACATTGGCCATCGGCTCGGTCCAATGGGTTAACCATCCGGGATAATATCAGCATTGACCAGCGGACCCTTGGGTTGGTACCTTCTTAACTTGGCCCAAACGGGCTTCAGATCATTGGTGGATCCAAAGTCCATGGTGGCCAGGACACCCTCGATTTTACCACAGCGCAGCACACTGGGTCCGTCGTTGGTAAAGAGCACCGCCTGCCTTTGACATGGCTCTCAGTCTCATCACGAATCCAATTACGGTATTGAGATCGCAGGCAAAATAGGAGCCATATTCGTTCTCCACCTGAACCATGATAATGGGTCCACCATTTCCATACAGATATTTGGACATCTTGGCAAATAGTTGAGCATACCAAATGCGCACTTCACTTAGTAATCTGAGGGAAATGGAAGTTAATTACTTAGTTGGCACAGCTAATTACAATTTGTTGAAAAAGCTGTAACTGAGTACAACATTTTTTTTTCAATTAATAACATTTATTTACTTACTGACATCTGCTGTGCGGAGTTGAATCCCCGGGTATTTGTTGAGAAGCCAGTAGGGAAAGCCTCCCATATCACGCTCGGCACAAATATAAGGCCCGGTCGAAGAATGACCAGCAGATCCTCACCCACAGCCAGGCGTATAAATGCTCCAGATCAGCAATTCCACTCCAGACGTAGACACCATCACGAGGATTGTGCAATGACCATTCCACATATCTATTATATTTTGAAATATTACCAAAACCTAGACAACGTGGAATTGACTTACGTGGTTACCGCATTGAGCCCTGCGGCTCTCATGGTTCGCAGGTGCCGCTGCCAGGTGGCTGGATGTGCACGGAAGTAGTGGAAGGAACCCGCAATAAATCGAAAGGATTTTCCATCCTTCAGGAACTGATCGTTTTCATAGTCTATTTCGAAAGTGCGATTTGCTGAAACGCTCCCAGCAGCGAGAAAAGTGCCACCAGGCCCACCAACAAAACTTCATTCTTAAAGAAGTATATAAAGAAGGGTTTTCATAACTATTAATTTAGGTTTGGTATGCA